TTAGCTCCAGCAGAACACTGGGTTGATAACAGATGCTTTTTGCTGTTGTTTCTGTGTTCTTTCTCTTCTCTGAAACTTATTTCAAGGCAATGACAGAGTCAAATCCATCAGGATTATGCCACTGTGCGGCTGCCATTAGACGATGCAGACTGATGTATTCTTATGCCACGCAATTGGCTGTGGCGTAATCTGTTCCACCTCGCTGTGCTTCACGAGGGTATACGAGCCTCCCTACGCATGTACACAGATTATTCATCTTCTACTTTGCAAGGATGGTATTGTGGAATATTTATTTTCTAGAATTTCAATGTTTCTTACTTGATTTTAAGGAATAAAAATAAAGTAAATATTTGTATGGACCAGTGTTTTCTGAGGAACAATGTTATATTAATGATTAGTGTTTAAAGATCTGTATCTCTCTCTCTCTGTGTGTGTGTGTGTGTGTGTGTGTGTGTGTGTGTGTGAGTGAACATATATAGGCCATATTACCTGGTAATATATGAGAATGATGTTCCTATTCAATGACAAAGCTATTAAAGTGACAAATATTCTATACAGATTGCATGTTCGCAATTATAACAGGACTAACAATAACAATGTGTAAGCTGCTCAAGGACATAATTTGATACTGAATGCATATTGTTTATTAGTGTTAGGCTACTTACTCATATATTGACAATGTATAAATCTCTGTATTCTTATTTTACTAATATTATATCTAATAAACCAGTTCATTTGACATTTTACATGCAAAGTAAATGTGCTATGCTTGCTTCTATAATACTGCTGAAAATAAACATGTTCATATCATATCAAAACAACATCAGATTGCATGTGCATAAATACTGTACAAATAATAATATGCGGCAATACTTTCAAAACGTTTTGACGTTTTCCATCTCAGGAGGCTATATATAAAAGACCTGCGTCTCCTTTTAGGTAAAAAAAAAAGTATACAACAGGTGTCACTATTGATCCTTACCTCAACATTCCTGCTCAATAATTTGTCACATCGATAATAGGCTACTTGTACTTGCGGAAGTGAAAAGGACAATGTAAGGTTGAGTATGTTATCTCAGTAGATATTCCCTACGCAATCTGTGCTGGTTCCCTCAGGTAAGCAAAATCGATTCAATTCACATAACTTCATCTATTAGATGAATCTGCTGCGATGACGTTACGACGTGTTTTGCGGATTTTGTGCGGAAAAAGAAAGACGCTAATAAATGACACTTGTGTTTACAGTAAGTTGTGACAGTTTGAAACGCTGATTCCAGCTACTGTTCGACCAAATTGACTTATTTTAAAAATGTTCTTAACTTTGTAAATGGCTGACTCATATCGATTTAAATAGTTTGAAAACGTATAAAAACAAATACTTTTAAAAACAGTTATTGAAAAACAATAGATTTAGAAGAAATAGAAGAAAATACAGAATGATAAAATGCTTTCTACAGAATGAAATGCTTTCTATGATATAGAGTAATCTTGAAACATACTTTTCTGATTGGGCAAACTGTAATTGAGCAGCTCTTGTCATATTTACACTAGATGTTCACATGAAATAAAAAAAGTATTTTTTATTCATATTATTTTTTTATTTCTGACAACTCTGTGTAAAATGCATCAACATCAATACTTTGACTTTAAAGTCAATCTTACATTTTGGATGCAAATGCTTTAGTAACAATGCTGTCTGGTAAATAGTAGTATTTAGTGGTTATTGTTGTTGCAATTTATGGAAGAATGTTATGTTCAGAAGTAGGTAGATTTGACTATGACCATTGTTCATTCTGTCTGAGTGTTTTTATATGCAATGGCTTGATGGTGTAATCAAACGTGGGGTGTGCTGCCTCATCCGTTGCAATGCAAGCTTGATCCGCCCCATCCTCTTTCATCTTTAACATAAAGACACTATAAGATGAGTGTGCATCATTAGTGCCACAAAAAGTCGCCCCCAGTCTGGACAGCCTGGCCTCCATTTTTCAATTAAAGTTACAATCAAATAGCCCAGCACAGTTAGGAAAAGGCTGCATTGATTAGTGTACAAATTAACACAAGAAAGAAATCATTCTCCCTCCATAAGCTAATTTGCCATCCTCGGTTCTCCTTAATAAGTCCCTCCGACTGACTTTTTATTCACAGACCCTCCACTGCCTCAGTAAATCCTGTAGATTTAATAACCATAATTGCAATAAATTCGGTAAACATTTAGATTGAATGCAATAACTCTGTCATTTACTCCAGTAGGTTGCTTTAAACGTAATTTAATAAAAGGGCAAAGGACCCTCCACATAGGCTAGTCACTAATCCTTGGTGATCCATGCGTACACATTAGGCTGAAGCATCTCGAAAATAGACAACGATTGATCTAGATTTCCTAGAAAATATCTGATCGCCATGGCTTGTTGTTTAGAGAGACTTCACTTGGTGGAGCCTAATTATGTTTGTATTGCTACTCCATCTCAGGTCATTTGTGTTGGGTCCACTGGGTCCTAACATAGGCCTATTATCATTCAAAGCCTTAAAGGTGTACCACAACATTTATCTGTTTAGTTCTTTGTCTTAGAGGTGAGCTAAGCAGTTGCGCCATGTTTTTGTGTTCAGAATTTGAACACAAGAACAAAATAACATATAAACCACCAGTTTAACCAGATGTTAAATGCACTAAAATAATACTTAAAAGGAATGTTCACCCAAAAATAAAAATTTTGTAAATAGTTACTCACCTCATGTCCCTCCAAACCTAAATGACTGTTTTAAAACTCAATTAAAACTAAATTGGACCCTATTGACTTCCATTGTGTGGTAGTCATTTTTCATGATATCTTCTTTTTTCTTTTGTGTTGCACAGAAGTCATGAGAGTGGGTAAATAATGACTAAATATGTATTCACTATCCTTTTAAATAGCTTTTATTTTATAATTTTTTTTCCAGGGCAAACATGCAACCTTTATATGTAAATTAGCAAATAATATTGCAATGCAGACAAGCACATTTTTGCCATTTTAAACAGCTGTTTAAGGTGTCTTTATTTTAATTTACTGAATGCATTTGCATACTTACCTGATTTGCGTAATTCCTTTAGTGAATCAGGCTCTAAGACAACACAGACAGCGAGTGCAAATAAATAGCATTGTCATTCTTTTGCACAATTAATTTTTAGTAAATTTCCACCATAATGTATTATGTTTTTTACATAAGCATCCTAATGCTTTTGCATATCTAACAGAAATCATTTTAAACAACATTCTGTAATGTTCTAACATCTCTGTAAATGTACAAGACAACAATAAATAGGGTCATAACTATTGCAAGCACTACCTCATTTCCAGAGATTTGCTGGTGGCATTTACGCTGTGAAAAGTTTACTCCCACTCTTTAATGTGAGAATGTAGATCGCTCATCTTTAAATACAGCCGCCACTAAAACCATTTCATCTGAAACAGTTCAGAACATAATGTCAGCCCACTCCATATATCTGAAGCTCATTACAGGGGAAAAAAGGTTTGCAGTAATTAATTACCTTGCTAATTGGGCCCTCAGCAGTATTATTGTCTGTGTCTGTGCAGCTTATTTAGTGTACAAACGAGACCTGCCGCATGATTGTTTCTCTGGCTTTAGGAGGCTCATACGCTCAGCTATTAGCACAATGACTATCATTCAGTTTACTGACACTGAGAGTTCAGTCTGGTACTGAAAACCTTTATGAGAGAGTTTATTTTGATATATTTATATCTTTATATCTCACGCTTTGTCTTTCATTCCACCTGTGCATATGTGTGTGGCTCTGTGTTCTTGTGTCTTTGTCTGCCAAACCTATTTTTAATACCGAAGAGCACATATACTTGAGAAACTGTGCTCTGATTTCCAACTAGTTACGTCAAGCAAAAAAACGAAATATTGAAAGCACAATAAAAATCTTAAAGGGGTGGTTGACTGGTTTTTTTATAGGCTTGATTGTGTTTATGGGGTGCAGTTTAACATGTGTTAATGCTTCGTTTGTTTAAAATCGCATTATTTTTCACATAATTTAGCTTTATTCCACACCTCTCTGTCTCATCTCTGAGAAACGGGCTGATCATTTCCTTCTTTTATGAAGCCCCTCCCTCAGAATACACGATGGGCTCTGATTGATTAGCTGGCCCAGTGTGTTGTGATTGGCTAAACCGCCTCTAGCGACATGTGTTAATGCTTCGTTTGTTAAAAAACGCATTATTTTTCACATAATTTACCTTTATTCCACACGGCTCTGCCCCTTCTCCTCTGAATGTGCTGATCATTTCCTGCTTTTATGAAGCCCCTCCCTCAGAAATACACGATGGGCTCTGATTGGTTAGCTAGCCTAGTGTGTTATGATTGGCTAAACCGCCTCTAACGTCCCGCCCCTCAACATAGCGGCATGTGCTCCGGTTGTATTGTAAACAATGACGTCGTCTATATTGCTTATCAGTTTGAGCCCGACTGAGACGCAGAGGATAATAGTGAAGAGGATCGCGCAGAACCTGTGCAAGCACGGCTTTTAATGGTAGGCCTAAGATTTTTGTTTGTTGTTGTCTCATACTTTTAGATACGCTGTTATTTGTAAATGCTACGGTTTTATTCTGATTAAAGCTTTAATACAGTACGGCAACCGCACGCGCGTCCATGTATAACGCTTCTCATAACTATATCAGGCTGCAAAGCAACAAAATGTGATTATTGTAAAGGGGGTGATTTGTTTATAAATAAATACATTTATAATATATAAAATTTAAAATATATATATATATAAAATTAGATGCTCAAGTCTTTATGGATGCTCTGGTGGTACTAAATTTACACCTTGTCAACAGCTCAAAGTGTTTTGCATTTTCCTTCTGTATTTTAGTCTTTATTTATTCCCAGTACTGTGTGTTAGTGGGATGTGTGAGCTGTTTTGTTTTGCTATAAAAATAAACTATTGTAACTATTGTAATTGTATATGTAAATATAACTTTTATTTGTCTCACACAGCAAGCATGGCAGATCTTCAGAACATCTCTGGTGGTAAAGCAGAGCTGCAGCCTGAAGCCATCGCTGATATTGGTGTGCTGGCATCTAAGAAAGAACCTCCAGCAGGCTACTATATTGTGAGTTTGCAATTGTCAAATATATGTGTGATTTGGAACCTAAAATCTATAAATAAAAATACAATAATCAGTCATTAGTCCAGATACATTTACACTGAAAAATCAAATAACATAACTGAAAATAATAATAAGAAATATAAGTATTTTAATAAAATACAATCAAATGTAATCTGATAAGCCGGTCTAGAAAAATCTGTTTGTTTTTTATTTTCTTTAAACGTTTTTTTTTTATATTTATATTATATATAATATTTGAAATCTTACTATATTTATTACTTATGCAAATAATTTGCATTTTACTTTGAAATAATTTGCACAAGTCACCTGGAACCTTGTTATACATTGTAAAATTGCATTTTAACTCAAAATTGAACAATTAAAAAGTAAAAAATTATGTTTTTATTTTCTTCCCTTCCCAAAAGGCAGTAACATATTTTATTGATAAGGTTTGGTTTTATTTCTGTTTTTCCTCTGGCCGACTAAAAGCTGTGAATCCTTCGGCCTACCCTGAGGATAGATTTGAACAACTCTTTCAGATGAGGCCTCCAACAGAGCTTGGCACCAGTGCCCTGTGTTTGTTTAGGACTCAGATGGCACTGACACAAGGGTGGCTGCTGATTCTCCGGCGCTTCTGCAACTCTCAGCAATCCCAGAGCGCTGAGAGGGGAAACTAGGACAACAGTATCAATGGCCTCTAGGAAAATGTTTTGTGTGTGTGTATCTGTTGTGTATGTGGGTGTGCCTCGAAAAGACTGAGAAAAGAACCAGGGCGGAAAGAGAGAGGGGAAGTTTTGTGAATAAAACAAAGCACAAAGCAAACACTGTATAAAACAACTCTGCGTTAAGCTTACGGGCAGCTAGAGTTCTTCCTCTCTGCTTTCCTCTTCTCCCTGTGTTTTCTTTCTTCTCTCTCTCTCACTTCCCGCAACACCCGCCAGTTCCCAACTGATGCCGTCTCCGGCGGCTTGTCTGTAGGTTGGCACGTTGCTGGGGTTCTGCCCACTGGCGCTGAGGATCCGGTGTACGCCACATGGCACTAACGTGTTCTCAGAGGCTCTGTTCCGTTTGGCCTTTCCCTCCATCGCACGCAGTAGGATGCAACTGTTTCACTTTGCTTGCACAAACAAACACATTTATTTATTAACAACCTTTATACAACCAAATATAAATGAAAATGGACAGATTTGTCTGCTTTAGTGCTAGTTTTAGTGAGTGTTCTGAAGTTTGACTATTTTAAACTGATTATCGGTAGCTTCTAACTGTCCAATCTGTCCACTGTGTCACTTTGCTTGTGCAAACAAACATATTAATAATCTTTAAACAACTAAATATAAAAATCAGTCCTTCAATTTGATTTTTGGTAGCTAGTTTTAGCAAGTTTTTAGACTTAGACCATTTAAAATTATTAACAGCTTCTGTCAATCCATGTCTCACTTTCTTTGCACAAATGAGCATGTTTATTAAAAATAGTTATGCAACAAAATATAAACAAAAGTTAGCAAGTGCTTTGAACTTTGAAAATATTAAATTTATTAACAGCTTTCAACAATACTTATCTTATAATTATTTACACTTTTGTTTTTTTTACACTTTTTTTTCCCCGTGCACATATTAACAAAATTTTTATATAAACAAAAACTAATAGGTACATTAACCAAGTATAATTTACAGATTTGTTTTAGTAGCTATATTTGTCAAGACTTTAAAGCTTTAACTGTTTTAAACTCTGATTAGCAATAGTTTTTACCAGTACTTGTCTAACCAGCAGAATGAAATGATTTTGTTTTATTTGCTCAAACAAAACAACCTTCACACGGCGTAATATAAACAGAAACAGAAAGATGTTTGTTTCTAAGAGCTAGTTTAAGCAAGTGTTTTATTTATTTTTTCTATTTTAAACTGATTATCCAGCATCATTCAACTGTTTCACTTTGTTTGTGCAAACAAAAATATCCAACTTTATGTTGTTTATTTATTAACAAACTTCACTTGAGTAAATAAAAAATTGAGTTAGTTTTAGTATTCAGAACTTTATCAACAACTTCTAAACAGACGAATAACGCATCAGCAAACAACAAACCACAAGGCACAGAAGACTTATAGTTAAGTGTCACTTGAGTAAATACAAAGGTGTTTTTTTTTTTTTTTCGAAAAGTAGAGGTGCCGCTCCTCCCTTTACTATTCTCAGTGCTTAGCAACTGTTTCCACATTCAGGCTGCGTTGCCTGCCCTGGTTGCGTGGTGAAAAGTAGAGGTGCCGCTCCTCCCTTTACTAGTCTCAGTGCTTAGCAACTGTTTCCACATTCAGGCTGCGTTGCCTGCCCTGGTTGCGTGGTGGCATACAGACTCCTTTGGTGCCTGGTTCCTCCCTGTTTGACTTTGGGCTTCACAGCTCCGGCTCTTTGTTTACTCTGACAAGAGGAGCGGGGCACTGACCTGGAAAAAGTGGCCAGGACGGGTTGTCTTGTAAAGGGAGGAGGGAGCTGGGAAGGAGGGGAGGCTATTGTGGTTGATGTATAGACTCCTCCTGAGAGTTTTCGTCCTAGCCAACGACTGTTGAGGCTGTAGCTCCACCACACTCTTGCTGTCTCTGTCCAGCAGTCTGTTTTCCTCAACGTCCGTTTTCCTGCCAGGTTGTCTGTCTTTTCTGAAAGTTTAATGTATGCCTGTCAAGACCTCATAAAAGATCACTTCAGAGTTGTGGGATATTCAGAACTGAATTTAAAATGGCAATTTAAAGGAATAGTTCACCCAAAAACGAAAATTTGCTAAAAATGTACTCACCCTCAGGCCATCCAAGATGTAGATGAGTTTGTTTCTTCATTGGAACAGATTTGGAGTAATTTAGCATTACATCACTTGCTTTGTATTGGATTTGTTTCATACAAACGCAGTAATGTTAAATTTCTCCAAATCTGTTCCAGTAAAGAAACATTTATCAGAATATTGGATGGCCTGAAGGTGAGTACATTTTTAGCAAATTTGAATTTTTGGGTGACTATTCCTTCAATTCCAGTTCAGTTTATGAATAAAAGTAGAATTGAGGTAAACAGGATGCAGAATTGTACTTAAATTACTAATTTGAAATGAAACTCCTATAACTGCTATAAGTGTATTTTTATATACATTTGATTTTTCAGTTCAAATTACCCATAAAAATGTTATCATACACAAAACATTTTTTTCATAGAAGTTTGTTTTAATTTGTATACCCATTATAAGTTTCAGTATTCTGTAAATTATAATTAATAATATTTATTTTAATGAGTCAAATAAATGAAGACAATGATATATGCATTTTGTTATTATATTATATTATATTATATTATATTATAACACATTTTGTGGTTTTGGTAGCTGATGATTTGAAAGTATTGGACTAACAGAAGAAAATATCTGGTTAATATGAAAATTCTAAAATAAAAATATATCTTCCACATATTAGAATTTTGTCGCAAAAACTGTTTGTTTTGCTAATGAAACTTGTCTGTTGTGTGATTATTGAATTTCAATTCAGTAAATTCCACTCCCTGTCATTGCAGTTCCCCTTCAGGAACTCGAGCTGCGTCGAGATCGCTTTGGGAACGCCCTTGCGTGACCGCGTTCTGAAGCACGATTGGACGGATTTGACACGTGCTTCAGAACGCGGTCACGCAAGGGCGTTCCCAAAGCGATCTCGACGCAGCGTCTCGTTCCCTCGGGGAACCATGGTTACATACGTAACCTAGAGACGTTTTAATTCAACATTCTGTGGCAAATTCTTAAATTGTGATTGCATCACTACAATTGTTTTAACTATTTATGAAAGGCTTGCTCTCTACAGAGGACAATGAAGTCTCATTTAGCTTGTTCAAGGCCTTCTTTGTGAGGTCTTGTCTCATCCTTGTTGTCCCATGGGGGGCCGGTGGTATTTTTACCCTTTTTGGAGGCTGAAGATTCTTCTCCACTTGCGTAGGGCTCTAATGAGATGGAGTGAGAGCTCCAGCAAGCCTTAATTAAGCCAAGTATGCACAGAGCAGGGCAAAAAAAGGAAGCACGCACACCGTCCATACATTAACTCGATCTCACCTCAATGCACATTCTCCTGTCTGTGTGATTTTTTTTTTTTTCTTTTCACGTAGGTTGCACAAACAACAGATGGCTTCGACGCCAACCTGTGGAAGGACAGCATATTCAAATCCAAGGTCACACACTATCTTTGCTTCACCCAAGCTGCCACCTCCAAAAATGTAAGTGAAAACGTGTGCTCATTGCAAGTTTTTCTCCAGTTTCTTCACACGCCGTCATAGAGTGCTTGCCCCGTTTGCTTCAGTCTGTCCCTCATTAGGGTTCTGCTCAGATCTTTGATCACAAACTCCTTCGAAACATGTTCTGTCCTTTAAAGTGAAGTAGCTAAACCGAATGCAAATACTACTCTGAATTTAGAATGATTTGAGAAATTTTTTATTTATTTTTTTTTTTCATTTGATGTATGAAGTCCCAGCAAGCTTGCATTTGAAAATTTGTTGACGATCTCCGGTTCTCCCGAAGGAATTTGTTTTATGATTATTCATAAACACAACGTTGCGTGTTAGTAGTTTACGATTTCATTTGGCTAAATTAACCTGGTCCCTGTAGACAGTTTGGATACCTCCCAGCCATTCATCAAAGATGGAGAAAACATCCAAAAAATGTCAAACTTTTAGTTATGGGGATTCTTGCTTATGAAATATGACACATCAAACAGCCATGCAATATGCCTGCTAACGGTTCACCTATTTGAAAAGATTCCTCTGTGAATTGAAACTATTTGAACATTTACCTCTCGTTTGGCTGAGCTAAATTGAGAATGAGCGCCTTTTTATGTGTGGGTATCTGTCTTGAAAGTGAAACAGGTGGCCCAGTAATGCTGTTCAGGTTATCGGTCTTAATTTAAGGTGAACAATGCAAAGCTTGAGCTGCCCTATCTTTATTGTTCCTCCATTTGCTGTGTAAGTGAAGGCAAAAAATAACATGTCTTTTTAGGAAACATTCTATAGTTGTTCTCTGTCTAGGATTAAAGTTACTAAAAATTTTATTTATTTAAACAGACCTTGTGTTCATAATTAAGTCTAGCCTGCTGATGGGTTGCTTGTAGGGTTTGTGAGGATGGCGAAAATAGGCTGTTGCTAATGAGCTCGTTTTGGTGGGTCATTGTTATTCAGTGTTATATTTCACCAGTGCATCTACTTTTTCCTTTTATATGCACTGTTGCAACAGTATGCCTTTCACTGATTAATTAATGATTATTTTTAAAATGTTTTTTTAGCCCATATATTAAAACATTTTAAGTTTTCTTTCACCTTTATAAATGGATACAGCTGATTTAATATTTTAGAAATCATAATTGTAGCATCAAAATGGTTGGAAACTCCTGTTCTGTAGACTAATAAATGTCATGATATATGTGGTATTTCATTCCACATTCAAGGGCACTACTACCCTATCACACACGTGTGGTTATACATTCAAGACTCCTATCACATGGTAAATCATTGATCTCACATTAGCCTTTGGTCTCAAAAATGTTTCTCTCTGTAGAAAAATGTTGTTTCTCTTTAAAACATGTGAATATCTCACAAGTTTACTAATGCAGTTTGTTGGACAAACCAGTAATTTTGGGCAATATTGAGCATTATAGGTCATAACCAGATTCAGTTAATCATTTTCAGTTAGTTATTCATTTGACAAATACTGTTTGGCCCTTCTTAAAATCAATGTGAAATCAAAATTTACCATATTTAATGCACGATTCTAGTCTTGTTCCACTGAAAAAGAAAAGGTATTTAAACAGATTTCACTCAAAAATTGCTAGTAAATTTCACAAGCAATTACAAAGAAACAGCAAGTAACACATTGAATTAAACAGGAAATGTTCAATGTACTGCAGTAATCTTTGTTATTTAGTACTTTGAAAAATATTTTTTTACAGTGTGTGAAAGATTCATTAGTGCATGTTATTTGACTATATAATCAATAATAATAAAAATGTAAAGACTTCTTCCTCTCAAACAACTTTCCTTTTCTGCTGACGTCACTTAGGCCATGTGGGCCATTGGTTAGTGTTAACCAACAGCCACTTTGTGATTTCTAATTAGAAATAAAACATTGTATAAAATCATTGTATAAAATCAAGGACATTATATATAAACAAGCTCCTCTGTAAAATAAATAAATAAAATAAAATAAAATTGATTATAGAAAGGAATCAGACTGTAAAGTTTGGTGTAAGTGCTATTGAAGTGTCGATTTCTGGCTAAGTGCATAGGACAATGAGAATGAGATAAAACAAATTTTGAGAAAATGGCCTTTAAAGATATGTATTGTAAATTAAATCTACATGTGCACATAGATAAAGTGTAATAAAGTAAACAATTAAAAGTGTACTTTGGATTTTTTTTTCTTTTCACAACACGTTATGTAAAGCCAAAAAGTCCAAAATCTCAAAATTGACCAGTGACCAGAAAAAAAACAATGTTTTTGTCTGTCGCAGTGCTGTATTGTTATCATAGCAGTAAAACTGCATCTCCTAAGCCCTGTAATGGTTATGATATTCAGAAATGATGTTGTAATCCGCTGTGGCTGGTTTACCCTGGCCAATTCTAGCACGCTTCTGCCTGTTGATCAAGTTCAATGAGAGCTGCAGTTTTAGTATGTAGCACATCATTCCCCTCTGCCACCTCTCCAGCGTGGAGTCTTAAAATGTGTGTCTGCACTGTTTTGAAGTCCCTGACGCTAATAAAGCATGGCAGCGCCATCAACAAAGGCTATTTTGTCTGTCAGTCAAAGTGGCCCCCACTGTAATTGTCTATGACAAAAACAGATTCTACAGAATTAGCCAGTGGATTATGTGGTGGGAAGTAAACAGTTTGTGATTTATCATACTCAGGGTTGGAGGTAGATGGCCCTTTGGCAGGTCCTGACGGAAAAAATCTCTCCTGCATCTTTTATAAAAAAAAAATAAAAAAAAATAAAAAAAAAACAGGCTTCGTGCATAGTAATAGCATTCATCCATATTCATACCCTCAAGTCAGAACTATGAATAAAAATGGTCTGTAGTGGTAATAACTGCCGGGTAACAGTAGCGGTGGCATCCAGAATGTCGGACTCATCACGTCACGCCACACTAGCTGCACTCTTTCAGGGCTTTTGCCGGATTATTGCTATTTATTATTGCAAAAAATGGAACCATAATGAGTGCGGGCTGGGAAGGCTGAGGGAAAAAGTCATACTTGAAAATGTCAACTAAACAGCTCCTGATTGTTTTCAAGTACTCCCTGTTCTGAAGCACAAGCAATTTGGCCTGCCACCGACTGGCCCGAGCGCTGGGCTGCCATGTCTGAAGATGATGGCTAGCGCACAGGTGCATGCATGCTTAAAAGAGGGCAGCGATTCAACAAATTTGTGTGTGCGCTTCTGCGAAATACTACAGTGGCCTTTTCATTGTAGGTACGGATCATGCATAATTGAAAGCCGCCCGCTTCTAGACATAATTTTAAACCTGAGAAACACTTTTAACAGGCTCATTGTTATCCTGGTTTAAACTAATATAATCATTATTCCATCACTAAATTTTGTGGCTAAAGCATTTATGCAACGTGGTCGTGGACATGAAGTTGATCGACTTGAAGTACTGTTTGCCAGAGGGCTTCACTCCGATCCAAGACACCACGGATACCCGTAAGCATAGTTTCCGTCTTTTTTTGCTTTCATCCTCTCTTTTTCTCTCTCTCCTCTATGTAGTCATCCTGAGGGAGCGCTTCTCCTGAGGCTGTGAATGTGAATGTTTCATGGGCTCAGGTTTAGCTTAATTTATGATTAAGCTAAACCTGCGAGAGAGTAAAATAAACATTTTGCCCCGGAGGTAGGAGGAGAGGAGAACTATGAGTCATTGTTTATCTCTGCCAGAACCCAGCTTTTCTTTATGATGTGCTTATTTATTTATGTATTTATTTGTGCAGAGCGGGAGTGGATGGTGGTTATCTAATATTAATGAAATGCATTCCCTTGATGCTTTAGTGCTTTTTGAGTGCTATGTATTTCTCCCCTTCTCGTCTTCTCTCTTCTCCTCTCACCGCGCCTTTGAGAACGCCGCAATATTATTTTGGCATTGGGAGTGAGGGCAGCATGTTTATTATTTCCATTATTATTGCATTTACACGGCCCTCGTCCCGGTGTCGCCTCGAAACGAATGGGATGGGCTCAGGAGTAATATGGCCGAGTCTGGTAGCGGGTTCTGGAGGAATGACTAAAAAGAAGACGGAGTCTCATTGAGCGCTGGTTTTAATGTGCCGCTTTATTGTAGTAAAGACATGTTTAATAGATGCCTCAGCCACTGTGTTGCCATTTCACTCTCAGTCAAGTCCCTTATATCCTTCTTACACACATATTTGATGCTGAAGATTCCCCTCTAGCACCCAATGACATTTTTATGTAATTATGATGGGCTTTCATATACTTATATGTGCCTGGAGCCTCAAAACGTCACATAGGTCGCATTTATATGGTGTTCAAATATTAATGCACATATATATTTAGCTTGTCTCTCTGAATAAAGTGTTAGGAAATAGGTAGTTTTTATACATATATTGTCGTGTCATTGTTTATAAGGCTTCCCAAGGACAAATAGGTCAGGCAATTTGTTTGTGGGGGAATCGATGCTTAATGTAGGTTTTAGTTATGAGTATATGAGACTGTGGGATATAAAGGCACTCTGGTTTAAATGTAGTTAGACTGCTGATAAATGAAAGACATAATTAGGGCTGTTTATTTTATGACTGTTATATCTCTTTCTCTCTCAGAGGAGCAGGCTTTGAGGAAGGAGAGACTGTGTGTGAAGTTGGTCCCCAGGCACAGCGCTGATACGGCTATATGTGATGTGGTTATACAGGGGAAATCTAAGCAAAGCCTCACTAATTATACATTTATAGGGTAAGATATCATATCTTTGGCTAAACTGAGTGAGTTGGTATGACAAGCATGACATCATGTTTTTTTGAGAATTATTTGTGTGTATTTAATGCAGATGGTTTGGTCGCTATTCCTTGTGAGGGTAAAGAAACACCAAAGTAAATATCCTGGAGCCAGCTTATTATGCTGTCTGAATCGTCATTTTTAAACCAAAGTGGATTGTTCTTCTGGTCTGTGTGTGTGTTTTTTGACCGGCTCCTGTTTCCTCTAGTGCACCTCAGTGCTTGCGGCATGCTACGGGCATTATGGGCGATTACTTTACTTGTGCTGCTCTTCCGACAGCGTTTAAAGCCACCCCTGATATGTCTTACAAACATTATATACTATTTTATTGACAAAATTATGTTTCATACCATATCGAGTGAGCTAGTATTGTTTTTTAAGGCACTGCTGTTCAAAAGTTTGAGGTCAGCAAATGTAAGACTTTTTTTTTTAAATGTATTTGAATTATCTTATGTTGATCAAGGCTGTATTTATTTGATTAAAAATACTGTAAAACAGTAATATTGTGAAATATATATATTTTTTTTAAATAACTGTTTTCCTTTTTAATATATTTTAAAATGTAATTTGTTCCTGTAATGGAAAAGCTGAATTTTCAGCAGCCATTACTCCAGTCTTCAGTGTCACATGATCCTTCATGAATCATTCTCATATATTCTGATTTGTTGCTCAAGAAACATTTCTCATTATTATGTACAGTATGTTGAAAACAGTTGTATGGCGTTATAGTCTCATGGGAATGGTTATACATTTTTTGATGATTATTTGAAGAATAGGAAGATTTATTTGAAAATATTTTGTAACATTATACTGTACATTTACTTTTGATCAATTTGATGTGTCCTTTCTGAATAAAAAAAAATGAAATAAAAAAATTAAATCTTACTAACCCCAAACTTTTAGACAATACATAAATGTTCACGATAATGAAACAAGCTGTTTTTGTCTACAGTGAGCTGAAAGGTTTGGGGATTTGGTATCAGCTGGGAAAAGTCACTAAATCACAGGATACAGCACACAAAACCTCCTCTACCTATACAACTGATATTGGTGTTGACAGGTAAGACACTTCACCAAGAATACATACAGTATATACTATATTTCTTGTTTTAATAGAAATTTCCTTAAAACAGGAGGAGAAATTGTTCATTGAGTCTTGTCGGATGAGAGATAGTCCAACAATCTGTAAAATGAAGTTTCTAAGTTGAACAGAACAGAATGTAGCATAAGATAACTGAGTGTGTTTCCACTGATAACCCGAAGTTCAGCAGGGACAAAACAGCCACAAGCCACAAGTGCTCAAGCAGGAGAGACCGCCTTGAGGAGAGCGCAGTCTGTTGTCTGCTCTTACACACAACACAAACACAGTCTGCCCAGCGGCCTCACACACAAACACACAGCCTGAAGGGAAGAAGACATAGAGGGAGAGTGACTTTGTACCTCATCCAACTCAAACATGTCAATTATTAATGAGCAGGAAGTAGTGGGGTTTTTCCTCAGTAAATAGTAAATAAACAATCACTGCTCCTGTCCTATAGTTGATAGAGCAGAGAGGTTGGTGGGGGTATGTGATTGTGCCAAATGAAAAGGCCAGATTTGAGTGCGCCAGAAGGCTGTGAAGGTCCCGGCACTGCAGTTAGGGCCAGTACACATAAAACTTCTGCAAGCTTTGCCCACTTTGTATTTCAGTGCCTTTACGAGAAGTTGCCAGTTCTTTAACCTCAAGACATTGCTGCTGAACAAAGATTTGAGATGGTAATATAGCCTGTTCAGTGTGTCATACTGCTTTAGAAGTTACAATTGTTGGTCGGTTAGTCAACAAAACATTAGCTTTGTTCCAAAACCTAGTAAAATAACATCCTAACCTCCATGGAACCGAAGGTGACTGATTAGGAACACTCTACATAGGCAGAAACTCTGTGCGCCACACAAATTGGACTGAGCATGCAATTGTTTTCAGTACATTTTGTTGTTAGCATGTTGCTAAGCTAACTGTGTGATACTAATAAGCATTAAAATATGCTTAATCAGTGAAGCATACATACATAGTGCACACAAATATTTGGTGTTTTTCAGTTGTGTTTTTGCTTTTTATGTTTTTATTCAATTATGAACGTGCTTTAAACCAAATCATTGTATATATTGTAATTGTCAATACTATCAATATTTTGTATATGCAACATAGCTAGTTTTACTGTTAATGAAAAAATATTTATTTCAAGAAATTGACCGTCAATTCAGATACTGCATCCATTGCATCTGCCTTGTTTTCTGACTCACACAGTTTCTACAAATTTCAGTCTGCAAAATTTTAGTGTATCATCAGATGAATATTCGAACACGCCAGTACCCAACAGTACTATACAACATTGAACAGACTTTATCTTTTTTCCGTCAGTTTTGTTCACTTCAAATTAAATATGGCGTCGATTGTGACTTGGGCCAATTCTCACATAAATTCTCCGTGATCATTGGTTGCTTTCATCCCATGACGAGCATAAGATGTTCCAGTGGGCTCCACTCTGAACATTGTCTGAAGTTTTTCTCTTTGAACTTTTGCGCAAGGCCGACCTCTGAAACATACCATGGTTTCGTGGCTTGAATAAAGCCCTTTGTGCAGTGTGTTTTTTGGAAGGGGCAGCTGTAGGGGAGAAGTGTTTGATGTCTCAGAGTCATCCTACATCCAGTCCCACACATTCACACACTTCGTCTCACCCTGTTAATTATTCACTCTTTTGAAACCACTTTTCAAGTTGGAGAAGAATAAATTGTACCTCCAAGCGAGGATCTGCGCCTCCCCACTGTGATCACAGACTGTGCACTTTTGTGTTATTATTACATTTCATGCTTCTACATCTGTGTGAATGTCCAACAGCAATCTGTGAATCTGTGGAAAAAAAGAACTCGGTTTATTGAAAATGTCGTTGGACTTTTCCTGCTTTCAAGACTTTTAGCATCCCGATAAATTGAATGTATCCGCTACAAAATAACCCTTTTCTGGCTTTTAGCCCATGTCAGTTTTGGTTTGAGGACATGGTATTGTTCTTCTAAAAGACAAAATTAGCATTTAGCAGATAACCACTTTTTCAAATTATTAATAAATTCTCATTCAAAATATTAATAATAAATACTACACTAGTATATAAATGCTAATTTAAGCTAAACGCTGTTAGAAATTTGGCTTCTTTCTAATTTGTTAAAAACATGTTCATCAAATGATTTGATGGGATATTTAAGATTTGATTTCATTTTTCAGAATAAAATGTAAATGCTTGAATTTCCCTGTGATATGACCAATTGTATTAAAGGCAAGTGAATATATTGTTAAAAACAAAGGAATAATGGAAAATAATAAAGGTTTTAGAATAGGAAAGCCACATGTGACGCATTACAAGGTGTGATGCTGTTCTCGCCTCATTTCACACAAACTATGCGGTCCCATCAATGTTTTACTGTTTGTATGACTCTTTTAAGATGCCCTCGAATTTAAATGCTTTTTACAGTTATAGGAAAGCTGTTTTAAACATAGTCAATAAAGAATAAATGTTTAATGACCCCTTTAACTGTGAATGCTGGTGGTTCTGCAAATAAACCTTTTTGCCTCAGGCTGCAAGGACACTAATCACTGTGTGTGCAGACTACTGAGTGTAAAGTTGATTCCCTTGCTGCCTGTTTGAAATTTCAAAGCGTTTCTATGAAGTGTTGATGTAAAAAAAATAAAATAATAATAATAATAATATTTTAATAATAATATAATAATCTCAACTCTGTCATGGATATTAAATACTTATATGACACTTAGAAATATAAAGTGTGTATAAAAATTAGAAATATATTTTGTTTTTACCAATTGTCTTATTCTTTAGATGTTAGGATTGCAGTGTGAATATGAAATCTGCCATCAAATTGCTTGGTGTCACTGTCAACTTTGTGACCACCATTTCATTCAAACTGGGCCCGGTCAATCCAGATCCCAAAGCATAGATTTTAGGGTTGTTGTTCTTCAGGGTGAGCTTCTTCTCTCATCTTTGTTGCCATTTGTCGTCCTGATAAAACTGTCATCTCTCGCTCTGATATCTGACCTCTAGATTGACAGAGAACATAAAGTTGCCTTGTGCTAATATTTCGGTTTATCTTTTTCTTCATAGAATCAAGGTTTCGGGCATTTCTCTCTGAATGATAGGGCCATATACAGTAAGGCAGGAAAAGTTTTTATATCCAAAAGCTGAACAATATAAATGTAAAGGTCAAGCATATTTCCCATTGTGAGCAGGAAGCATTTTTTTATGCCATCCCATGATTCACTCCACTGATTCACTACAGGAGGTCAGTAAATATAGAACCATATTGGCTGAACTTTGGAATAACTTAAAAATGACATTTAGATCAGGGATCTTCTAAATGGAAAAAAACACCTGTTAACATGTTGTGAAAATTAAATGTTGCATTTTAAGTTTGACCTATAATAACAGTCATTTAATTTTAATTGAACCATTTAATATCTGTGATATTAGCGGCACTAAATAGAATATTTTTATATTTATAATTTTTTTATATAATAAAAGATCTTGTTTTTTTTGTTGTTGTTGTTTTTTCCTTTCTTCTAGATAACTTCTGTTGCCAAGATTATAAGAGTTAAGGTTGTGTTTTCAAGAAAACAGCAATAATATGTCAAAAATAAATAAACAGAAATAATGAATTATATTGAAATTATCATTAGTTTGCAATACTGTTTGATGCCATCAGTGTTGCAATAATTACATGCATCAGCTAACAAATGCTTCATGATAAAATCAGCATTTTTCACTTTGTTCTGTGGCAGCCGATTTTTGTCTCAATATATTGTCTCAATATCAAGTCAACTGTGACCCTTTGCATGACAGTGCAGGTGCTTGCTGGCATAGGCCGTATATGGGAACGTCTCGGATTATGAGTACTCTATACACCATATGAGTAGCACTGATGGATGGGTGTCAGTGTTCCCGCTCTTTGTTGGTTTCGGTGATCTCTGTGTCACCTTCTCAACATCAGCTCTCCAAACAACGGCTGATCTACCAGTTCTCAGGGAAGGCAGGCCCTGTACGAGCTCTGTTGTGACACCATCCTCAAATGTGTTTTTCAGACACTCTTCTGTGTACCCTTTCCCAGAAAGCCCTAAAAAGCGTGCAAATTTCCATACACATCAAGTAAACTCAAACTGAGCAGTGCCACAAACAATAGAATCATCAGCAAAGATCTGTGGCTCTTTAGAGAATCTACACTCCCATATTCCACCGCAGAATTCTTCAAGATTCTTCCTTCTCCGCACCTGACATGGAACTTTAAGTGGGGTAATGACAAGCGGGAAAGCCGCCGCTGCAGAGAGCAGCTGTCTACAAGCCATGGGTTGTGTGGGCTGCCTGCTCGGAGCGAGCGCTGAGGTGTTGTCATCGAGGATCTCGGATGAGTGTCAAAACACCAGCTTCCAGATTCCTCTCAGTTTGCACCGTATTATTTTTATATTCCGTTTTTATCCCAGGCTTTGCCTCACCGAAGTCTTTGGCAAATTTGTCCACAGTGTGACAGATGTTCATTGGGAACCGTCTTGAACGTTGGGTCTCCTCCCCAAGACGGACTTGTGCTTCAGCTTCTACGCCGATGACTTCTTGAGTTTCTCATCAGCCACCCATGGAGATTCTAGCATGTGGGATTGGGCTTTTTATATTGAGATTACCCTGACTAATTAGCTCCTTTATGAGACTTCTCGAAATTTCCTAGGCTGTAATTTTGCCTTGCCAGTAAATACTGTACAAGTTAGCAACCATTTTTGTTCATGCAACAGTACACAAAAATGTTTTCCGCTTCATCACTGATGGTAGTCCAACAACAATTCAGTCTTATTTCAGTCTGCCTACACTACTAGGATGTGTCTGTCTTCTCATTTGAAGAATCTGCTCTAATTTGTTCAGTCCTTCATCCCAAGTCGAGCCTCTTCCTCCACCTACCAGGCATTGTGATATTCTTGAGTGCTTGTCTTTGTGTCCAGTTGTCTTCCATTTGGCCTTATTAGGAATCAACCATCAGCTGTCCTCTGAGTTTGTGCCTTGAGACCTTTGTCTGTCTTCAAACCCCCATATTTCTTGGCCTCATTATCATCCGTAGATCTAAGTGGAGCATGTTGAAGATCTTTGAAATGTTCCAGGCTGAAATATCGCCTTGCATGTAAATACTGTACAAACTGACAACCTTTTTGGTTCATGGAAAAGTTTTAAAAAACATAAAATAGTTTTTCGTTTTATCACTAGTGGTAATCCAACTGCAATTGTGTCTTATTTAGTCTACGTACACCTTTTGGAAGTGCCTGTCTCATCATTTGAAGACTCAGCCCTAATTTGTCCAATCCTTCATCCCAGGTCAATCCTCTTCCTCCACCTACCAGGCATTGTGATATTCTTGAGTGCTTGTCTTTGAGTCCACTTGTCTTCCATTTGGCCTTATTAGGAATCAACCATCAACTGTTCTCCGAGTTTTTGCCTTGAGACCTTTGTCTGTCTTCAGACTCCCTTCTTTCCTGACCTCAGTGTCATCTGTAGATCTAAGTAGAGCATGTTGAAGATCTAAAATGTCATAAGATACAGAAACAATTTGAGGCTTATGCTGTGGTATACGAGCTAAATTGTTTGCGTTTTATTCCCAGTTCTGTTGTAAGTCTGGGAGTTATTCAGATTTGTGTCAGTGTGGCTCTGATGGGTTTGAATGATGATTAATTGTAGGCAAAACTCCAGTGGCCGACATAATGCAAGCCTTGTGCTGCCGTTGATTATGTAGCCATGTTTGTATTTTAAGAATTAGATGTTTAATGGATATGCCATATGCTACCCAAAGCCAATGTACCTTAAACCATTAAAAGCGGAGAATTGGAATTGAGTATGGTTACGTTGTTTGACAGCTCTGAAGATAGCAAAATGCTTGCTACTGAAACATATATTGATTCAAGCATATAGTTTTATTTCACTTTTTGAGAGGCAGCTCAGACAGAAAGTTTTGGAGATGTTTTTTTTTTTTTTTGGGGGGGGATGCTTGACACTGGCACAATGAGTTGCTGTATTTTAAACATATAAAAGACGTTAGATAATCTTAAGATGGTTGATTTTCTAAAGACCAACTCTTATCTCTATTTTGACCTTATCAAATTGGTGATGTTTTACGTCCAAATAGATTTGTGTGGTGTAAACAGGCTTTTCACTGAATAAATCTCATTTCCATTTTCTGTATCACTCGGTATCATTCACTATTGTTTTGGCTTGCTCCAGTGACTGGGGTAGTTGAGGCTAGTTTCGACGAAAGAGCATCTGGACCGTCTCCTTTCAGTTTTATGGCTGTTTGTGAAATGTTTGGATGCGCATAGAGCCATGTCCCCGGCTTTCTCTCTCCCCTGCATTCGAGTCAACCTTTGCAAACGAAGGGAAGTCTTCATTAAATGTGGCAATCGGTTCCACAAGATTGATGCCAACCTTTTAAAAATTCACCATTGGGCCGAATTGAACACGGGCAAATGCTGATGCAGATGAACAGAGAGAAGTCGGCCCCATCGAGAGAAATAAATCTGAGTTGCAGGCTTCAGTTCATAAATACCACAGCCTGTCAGGGAGGATGTTTTATGGCCCCTGATATAAATTATTGCATTTATTTATCTCATCACACCTGATAGAAATGCAGAGTAGTCACTCACGGCAGACCTGTCTTCAGTTTACTCACGAGTTGAATACTAGAGCTGACCCACAGTTCCCATTTATTAATTCAGATGAATATGTACAGTAGATCTCTGGTGGACAGGGTGTTTGACTGAAAAAAAAAATGCTTTCAGAAAGAATCGATGACTGTGTTTTGCTAATTCAGTTTTTGCTTAGCGGATTTCTACACCAAAGTAAACAACCAGATTTGCATTTGCATCCGTGCCCGAGCGCTTCAACCATTTCATCTATTTCAAACATACCCCTCCTCCATTTTCAACATCTAGGCAGCTCCTGCTTTGCATTGATATCACATTTCAGAAGCTTTTCCAACATTCACATCTGCACTTACCTTCCCAACTTACTCTCAAACTCAGATTCTTCCGCCGGCTAAATGACATCTCACTCCCCTTGGCGGTGTCACTTTGCTCCTAATCTTCTTCCAAACATGACTCTGTCTGACTTTAATGCATCTGATGCATCCTGTAACCTGTTGGAGATGCTCATTTGGTCTTCAAAGCATGTCTAAAGCAGAATTATGCAGCGCTCCTGATGCAGAGAAACTCAGGCAGCGAGGCACTGAATTTATTGATTCCCGTGAGTGAGTCAAAGAATGTAATTCACCAGCATCTGATTGATGAGGAGAGCAAGTTCAAACTGTCCATGAAGTGCAACGCATGCTATTTTTGCTCTTTCCCAAAACTTTGGTATGGTTAAGCAGTTTGACTTAAGACCAGCAGAGGATTCTTATGGTTATGCAATAATAATATTATTATTATAATAATAATAATAATAATAATAATAATTATATTATTATTATTATTAGTAGTAGTAGTAGTAGTAGTAGTAGTATTGGCTCTTTGACAAATTGCTTTTGTTCCTCTTTTGTCAGTCAAGTCTAAATGCATAAATGCAATGAAAATGTATTAATAATAATAATATTGACAACAATAATAAATAATGATAGTACAAATATAAAATATATTATAGTAAATTGCATGTATAAAAGTATAAATGTAGCACTAATAATTTTATTGCAAGCATTTTATTATAAAAAATATATAATATTTGATAATATTATTAATAATAATGAATATTAATTATTATTTCTATATTTTATTGTAATATGATTAATTATAATAAAATAGATAAATAATTAATATGTATTATTATTATTATTTATATTATCAAATATTATTATATATGTTTGTACATTGCATTTGTATCTATATATTGTATTTAAAATATAATAATAATAAAAATAATAATAATGATAAAAATAATAATAATTATTATTATTATTATTATTATTATTATTATTATTTTATCTGTTATTATTATTATTCTTTATATAATAATATTAATTGTATTTCATTATTGTAAATTATTGGTTGGGTTTTATGCGTTTATCTGACTATTTGGTTTGAATGTTTTCAGCATTGTTACTGCAACATTATTAGATTCATTGGCACTCCTACAGTATAATAGGAAACTAGTGTGATGCTCCAAGAAAAAAAAAAAAAAAAAAGAAAGTC